TATATATATATATATATAGGCTATATGGAGGATCTATATGGAGATTTTTCTCGTTGTTTCATTTATTTATCATTTTATATATATGTTGACTAAACGTGACAACAGGTGGACTAACGCGCGTAATTTAAAAAACAGAAAAAAAACCTTCAAACACATTCAAGAAAAATATGCCAGCCGGCTACGACGCTGACGTTGACGCTGACGATGACGTTGACGATACGTACCATCCGCGTGCGTGATCGGCGGCGTCGCCGGCGATGACGACGGCTGGTAGTGGCCGATGAGCGTGTGACTAGGAGACGCGTACGCCGACGAATGCTGCGTGTTCATGAACGAATAATTCAGATGCGGTGGTCTTTGGTTAGGCGAGAAGAGCCCGGGTGCCTCGTGCTGGGCAGGCGGGTAGTTATACGCCGTGTAGCCGGACACGGGCACGAGCGGGTAAGGCGTCGGCTGAGGCCGCCCCATGCCCGGCATGCCCTGATGCTGCATGCCCATGTAGCCCGGCGCGTTGACGAAGTCGTGCTCGTATCTTTCCGCGCCCGCCATTTGTCCCGCCGCGCGCACAGACACGATCTTCGAGAAGCTGCTTTCTTTCACCGTGTCGCGACACTATCTGGGATGTTGCTCACAACGTGTCATTTAAGCGGGAGACATCACAGTGACGTCACTACGTCGCGCGAGCTGGCGTCGTGTCGGCTAGCGTGTTAGCGTGCAGGACCGCTGCGACGAAGCAGTGGAGATAAAAAAAAAGCTGTCCCTTGTCCACTCTCTGTCGCGTAACAAGCGGGAAGTGTGACTTCAAGTCTTCAAAAAGTTTTTTTTCAAGAGTTTTCGAATGAGTCCCAGAGTATTCCGGTGTTGATCGTAGTCGATTTTTGTGTCAGACGGAGCCGACGATGACGCGGCGATGACGTGACGCTGACGCTGACGTGACGACGACGTGACGACGACGTGACGATGATGTGACGAAGACGTGACGACGACGTGACGCTGACGCTGACGTGACAATGACGTAACGATGCCTTACGATGAGTCTTCCGCTCACAGTCGATAGTCGTTATTCACGCGTCTGTTTCTCTCTCTAAGATTCTCCTGAAGTTGCAAACATACTCTCGCGTTGGTTTGCCGTGCGGCGGCGGGAACAGCAATCAACAGGTCGCCGCGTCGCAAGATGCTGCCGTCCGACTACGCGACGGAAGCGCGCGCACACACACGCACACACACAAAAATACACGCGCGCACGCACACGCGCACACAATGATATATATATATATATATATACACGCGCGCACACACGTATGAGACAGAAGCTCAATCTTGCTTACGCGCCTCGCGATGTGCAAGATGCCGCGTCGTCCGACTACGCGACGGAAGCGCGCGCACACACACGCACACACACACAAATACACGCGCGCACGCACACGCGCACACGCACGCACAACCGTCGGGCCGTGACTTTGCTTAGTCGTCGGAGGTGGGGGGCGTACGCCTAACACTGAGAGCGCGCCAGCGTTGCACAGTCCCGTCCTCTAGCCGAAACAATGCTATCATTGTTCGGGGGCGGCATCAGCGGATGGTGTGGGATTCGGCGCTCGGTAATCGAAGCGTGAGCGGTGAACAACACAATTATTATCTGGCGGCAGTGCCCCAGAGCGATTTGAAGCTGGAAAATTCGGCCGAACCAATATGTCAGTGTTGCCTGCCCAGACTGTAACCAGTTAGTGTAATTCGTATAGGCAGAGCCAGTAAAACGGGGCGGCGCTGTGGCATGCGACGCATGCCTTCTATACGGTCCGTAATTCCCTTCAGCCCCGAACGCGCGAGCGGGACGAGCGACAGCATGGGAAGGCGCACTGACGCGGACGCTTTAAAGCAGAGAGAGAGAAAGAGAGAGAGAGAGAAAGAGAGAGAGAGAGAAGAAGAGAGAGAAGAGGAGAGAGAGAGAGAGAGAGAGAGAGAAAGCGAG